CGTGTCTGCCCGGCCCGGCGGCGGTGACTGCGGACGACTCCAGCTCCCTCTCCGCCACGGGAAGTAAATTCCTGTCAGAGCCAGGCAGAGTTGTCGGCTCCGCGGTGAGCCCACCTGGCTGCTACTGTATTTAAAAGCAGAAAAAGAAAAGTAAAAAAGGTTTGCTGGATGATCAGACTAAAAGGAAAACGATAACGGAGTCTGAAAAGCTCACCAGTAAGAACCGTTCTGAGTATCCTCTTTTGTTTTATGCGGGTGAAGCCTCTGGGAGAGCCCGCAGGGACTCCCCTGGCCGTCAGCCATGGCCGTACCTATCGCGGTTCTTGACTGCGACCTCCTGCTCTATGGCCGCGGACACAGGACTTTGGATCGCTTCAAGCTGGAGGATGTCACGGATGAGTATCTAGTATCCACGTACGGCTTTCCCCGACAGTTCATTTGCTACCTAGTGGATCTCCTGGGAGCCACTCTCTCACGTCCTACACAGCGGTCCAGAGCCATCAGTCCAGAGACGCAAATACTTGCTGCCTTGGGTTTCTATACCTCTGGCTCCTTCCAGACTCGCATGGGGGATGCTATCGGCATTAGCCAAGCCTCGATGAGCCGCTGTGTTGCCAACGTAACCGAGGCACTGGTGGAAAGAGCCTCACAGTTCATTCACTTTCCTAAAGATGAAGCTACTGTTCAGACCCTGAAGGAGGACTTTTATGGGCTGGCAGGAATGCCGGGAGTGCTGGGGGTGGTGGACTGCACCCACGTGGCAATCAAAGCACCAAACGCCGAGGACCTGTCCTATGTGAACCGAAAGGGTCTCCATTCCCTGAACTGCCTCATGGTGTGTGATTCCAGAGGAGTCCTCCTTAGTGCTGAAACGCACTGGCCAGGGAGCCTTCCGGACTGCGCGGTGTTGGAGCAGGCAGCCCTCACAAGCCAGTTTGAAACTGAGCTACATAAAGATGGCTGGCTACTTGGTAAGTCAATTTTTCATCCTTGTTTTCAGCAGAAACTCTATCGTATATTGTCTCCTTACTGAGTGAGAACCTCGGCACAAGTGATATGTTTACTTTCGGTTGCTTTCCTGCAAATTGATTTGAGATTTATGATTAGGTTTGGACAACCCTTATCTTGGAATCTTAGAACAGTAACTTCTAATCTGTGTTTTATACAGTCTGATTATTGTATGTATTAATCCTCATTCATTCTGTTAATAGCTTTCTTTCAGTATTCTACACCTTTCCATGCCGAATTATGCAATTTTTAATTCTAGGTACTGTGCTAGTCCTACTGCTTCCCCCTGTTTTATGCAGTAGATTAATTCTCTTAAAACTCTTCTGTGGAAAATCTTTCAGGATTTTCTTGTGTAAAACTGAATGCCTTTACTTTGCCACATTCGTAAACCAGAGTTACTTCTTCCGTGCCTTCTCTTTTAGCCAGAGGAAGAATTTATTCCGTATCTGCTGTACCAGAAAACCAGTCTGAAATCTGTGGCTAACTGTAGGTGTGTAACCTGTCCTGCTCCTTTCCACTGCTAACAGGTGACAGCTCCTTCTTGCTCCGGACGTGGTTGATGACCCCTCTGCACATCCCCGAGACGCCTGCAGAGTACCGCTACAACATGGCCCATTCCGCCACTCACAACGTCATTGAGCGCACCTTCAGAACCATCCGGTCGCGGTTTCGCTGCCTCGATGGCTCCAAAGGCACCCTGCAGTATTCTCCAGAGAAGTCCAGCCACATCATTCTGGCCTGCTGTGTGCTTCATAACATCTCCCTGCAACATGGACTGGATGTGTGGTCTGCACCAGCCACAGGGCACATG